CTTCTTCCCAAACCCTGTGTTCCTAAGGCAGCAGTGATCACTGTCCCCATGTGCTGCGAGAGGAGCAGGGCTTGAGGTGTGGCTTCACCAGTGCTGAGCACAGAGGGACTGTCATTGCCCTAGCCCCGCTGACCACGCTGGGCCTGATCCAGGCCAGGATGCCCTTGGCCTTCTTGGCCACCTGTGCACACTGCTGGCTCCTGCTCCGTCGCTGTCGACCAGCACCCCCAGGTCCTTTTCCGTCAGGCTGCTGTCCAGCCACTTTCCTTCCACTGAGGGAGCTGCTGGAAGCACTCACTGAGCCACTTTTAATCCTTTGCCATCAGTCCTGGTCAAACAGAGAGGTCCTGGTTGACTGGGAGTTGGCAAATGTGACACCCATCTACAAGAAGGTTTGGAAGGACCTGTCTGGTGGCTGAGGGAAAGCTGTGGATGTTACCTCCCTGGGCCAAGTGCTGGTCCTGCCCTTGGGTCACAACAGCCCCATCAGTGCAGCTGATTGACGTGACAAGCACTTCTTTCTCTGCCAGTGAGTTACACACTCTTCAGCTGAGTTCTGTACGAAACTTGTTTCTTCTCCCTGCTTTAAGTTTGCTTATTTTTTTTGGTTAGTCTTGAAGAGTGATACTTCTCCTCTTGACATTTCATTAGAAATAACAGCCGTGATTGTTGCTGGAAAGTGTGCTGAACTTCTAGAGCTGTGTTTGTCTGCAGCACTCTGTGCCCCCCATCCAGTGAGGGGGCACAGAAAGTACGAGTCTGTGTGAAAAATTACATTTTCTCTCCGTGCTGTTTTGAAAGAAACCTGTTAGTGAAACACCTGTTGAGTGTGTTCTTTGTTATGAGATAAGCAGATACTCGTTACACAACAAAATACAATCTAGTTAATGTGCATAACGACATTAATGATAAGAGTTCCTTGTCACTGAGAAATAAAATAAATACCCAGCAACATGTGCAATTACAGTACTTGAAAAGGCACCAGGCAGGAACTTTTTTTGATTTAAGCAAAAAAATAATTAAAAGTGAAGGTGAAGCAAACCGTAGTTTTCTCATTTTACATTTATGTAGCTCATGTAATTAATGGCTGAGCTGCAGAAATGATCTTAATGTGATGCTGTGTTATGTAAGTCAGCCTCTTTATCTCTGCTGGCTTGTGCACTCCAGCCTAACAAGCTGAATGGGCAGCTCAGCCCAGGCACTGGCTTCCCAGTCTCCCTGTGGCTGGAGGAGCTCTGTAGGACAGGTGTGCTGTTCAGCATGGCCCTCAGGAGATCCATGCTTTTGTGAGTCACTGAGTGTGTGTGTTGTCACCAGGGATCCAGGCTGCATAAATCGTGTCTGAAGTGGCAATCAGCTTGCTGGGTACGAGCACACGAGCTGACAGTTACAGAGACTCCAGTTTCCTGGTTTGATCCATTGCATGTGTTCACACTCCCCAAATGTGGCTGTCAGGTCATAGCTTGGGACATTCTGTGCATCTCTGAGGAACCACAGCAAAGCCTGGAAACACCAGTGTGGGATGTGGGTAGAAATTACAGTGGGAAAGGTGACTGGGAAACAAGGGTTGAAGTTTGCAAGTGTCAGAGGGGTAAGGTAGGGCTTTACATCAGCAGTGAGATGAGCAGTAACACTTGCAAGGAGTAGCACTGCTGAAAGGTTGGTTAGGATGACAACTGCAGTGTTGAAAGAGCTGTTGAGTCAGTTCTGTGGCTCTGTCTGCAGTTCCCAAGAAGGGGTTGGAATGAAGGTGGCAGTTCCATGGCAGTGTTAATACCTCCAGGAATTCAGGGAATGTGTCACTGTGGAAGACATTGGTTTTGAAATCACAAAGTAGGTCAGGTGTTTGTTTCACAAATAAGACAACTGCAGTTTCTGGTTGTGGCTAGACGTGGTGGTTGGAATGTTTGGTCAGTTGCTGTTTATGGTGCCATTCGTGATGGTTTTTATGTGATATCATTGAGGATTATGGTGTTTATTCCAAGTAGTGAGCAGGCTATAGAGGAGTGAAAATTTGGAACAGGTAATTCAGTCTGCAGAAGGCTGAAAGATAAGAGATGGAAAAAGCCACAAAGGATTTCTTTCAGAAGTCCTGTTGTGAAATCCTGGGAGCTGGTTAATGGTTACTGGGACAGCAGTGAGTGGTGTCCTGCTGAGATGCTGAGTGTGGCAGTGAGAGTCACTGCTCGGGGCAGTGAGTTGGGTGGGATCGTTGATGCAGGGGAAAGGTCTGTGCAGTAAGAAGTGGGTGGCCCCAGCAGCTGGTGCAGTGGGAGCAGTCTGATGGTTTAGAAAGAAGACTTAAAGGTTGAAGCAACAGAGAAAGAGAGGGAATGGACAAATGAGAAGTTGCATATTTGATACTCACAAATGTGTCCAGTGTGATTGCAGAAGTTACCTTGGGTTATTTTCAAAAGAACCAAGTACATATTTCAGACTTTTTCTTTTCTATAGCAGATCATTAGCAACTTTTCCTGCAGTGCAGTCTGTGATCCCATTTGTCAGTACTCAAGAAAAGCGCACGCAAGGGAGAACAAGGGCAGAGTTGGCTTGGCTGGAGTGATTAGCTCAGAGTCAGTTGATTTTGCGATGCGACCTAGAGCTTGGTTGGTTTAGCACAGCTGTGCTTGGCAAGGGTTTGTGGCTCTGGAAGGCAAGGAAGGCTTCAGGCTAGAGAGCGATCAGATGAGCACAGACTTCCAAGATGAAATGCTTCGTGGGAATTGGCAGGTTTCAGGCTCCGCAGGAGGTGATGTCCGGAATGGCCTTCGAGGATAGATGGTCTCTTTCAAAGGCAGTGTGTGTAAAAAGTGGTGCTGTATTTGCCTGCAGTGTCAAAGGATTGGGCTCATTGGTCACGAAGGTTATTTTCTGCCTTGTGCTGTGTGTTACCATATTCCCTATTGGAATTGTGTTGTTCCATGCTTAACTCACTCGGGTAAAGAAATGAGATTAATTTCTCACTTATTACCATACTTTTCAACTTATAATTCGTAATACTAACCCGTTTTCTCACTTACTGAGCAAACCCAAAATGTTCCCGCTTTATTTTTCTTCCAAGACCAGTATAATTTCTCTTCTTGGAATAAACTAGTTCAATCAAAGGAAATAGTATGTTTTCTCCTGGAGGAAGATCTGGTGCCATCAGAATTCACTTAATTTTTCAGCAAGATAACTCCTCAGTGGTGACTCAGTTCCTTTTGCCTTTTAGGGATTTGATGTTCTCTAAACCTTTGACAGCCAATTTGTATTGCTTCAGTCCTTCGCTTCCCTCCTTGTGATTTTCATGGTTGCCATGAGTGACAGCAAGTTACTAAATGCCCAGCTCACAGCAGCTTCCCTCTCATTAGCAGTGAAGTCTCTACCTTGGTGTTCTGTTTGAAAATGACGTTAAGTGCCTGGCCTGAAAGTTTCTTTTTGCCGGTAGAAATTCAGCTTTATTCATGGGCCTGTCTTTGCTTTGCTGTGTGAGGCTGGGAAGGAATGCAGCCAGGAACAGAAGAGTGATGTATTGAAGGAACACCTTTGGTATTCCATACCAGAGCCAGAGGTGAGCACAGGAGCCTGTTCTCTCACGGGAGGTGCAGGTCTGTGAGTGTGAGCTGTCGTGTGCCTGGGTGACATACCCGAGATCATCTCGGTACTCCAAACGTCTGAAGGAAGAAGTACAAAGAGTTGAAAGGACTCGCTGCACAGGCTTTTTGTTTCTGCTGCAACAGTTTGTTTTCGAAGAGTCCTCGTTTGTGCGCGATTCCGAGGGGTCTGCCCGGCCCACCCCAGCTGTGCCACCCACTGCTGCTCCTCCGTGGGTCTCCTGTGGGCTTAGGGCTGGGGTTTGGAATTCTTCAGGGGATTTGGGGATTGGTACCTGGAAGCTGCTGTTGATGAGGGCTCTGTTTGGCCTGCAGCACTTCACTGCAGTGATCAGGAGCATTTTGCTGCAGCGCATTCAGCACTGCACTGTTTTCTCAGTGGTGGTGGCTGCTTTGGAGCCTTTGTTCACAGGTAGGTAGTGATGTAAATGCTTCAGGCACATATTCCTGGTTCTCCATGCATTAGTTGAAAGTGGGATTAGTGGAAATTTGCCAGTGTGTAGGAAGATTTGAAGATAAAAATGTTATGCTGTCATTGAAATTCTGCAATTTTGTCACAGCTTCTGTGATCACAGATTGTAGTGGAGGAGAGTGATGTGCTTGTACAGTATTCCTTCCAGTAATTTTAATGAGCTGTGTTTCCATGTGATAACCTGCATTTCATGAGACTGATAGTACAGAATTGTTTGGGTGGGCAGGGACCATCTCGTGCTGTGAGCAGGGACACCTTCCACTAGACCAGGCTGCTCATAGCCCCAGCCAGCTTGGCCCTGAACATCTCTGTGGGCAACACGTTCCAGTGTCTCACCATCCTTGTTGAGACACAGTTTCCTGGTTATGTCCTATACAAATCTCCTCCATTTCTGTTTAGAACCGCTGTCCCTTTTCCTGTCGCTGCAGCACCTTTACGTATAGAAAGGTTGCAGTAAGATCTCTCCAGTCCTTTTCTCCTCCAGGTGGCACAGCCTCAGCTCTCAGAGGTGCTCCAGCCCTCTGATCATCTCTGTGGCCCTCCTTTGGTCCTGTCCCAAGGGTCCATGTGTCTCTGGTGCTGGGGACCCTGCTCACACAGCACTCTGCCGGGGTCTCCTCGGGAGGGGAGCAGAATCACCTCTCTTGACATGCTGGCCCTGCTGCTTTTGGTGCAGCCAAGTGTATGATTGGCTTTTTGGGCTGCAAGTGCACACTGCCTGTTCATACCCAACTTTTACCCACTGGGATCCCCAGGTCCTCCACGGGGCTTCTCTCGAGCCCTTCGTCCCACAGCTGTACTGACACTGGGGATTGCTGCAGCCGGGGTGCAGGACCCCGGCTCTTCATATAAACAATCTGCATTCTGGCTGAGTAAATAAAGTCCTTTGATCTTTGCAGAAAAATCCACAGTGACTGGTGTTTTGCTTTCAATAGTCAGAAGTTTCACCTCGGTCTCTTGTTCCCGCAGGAAACATTTGTCGCTCTCCGATAGCTGAAGCAGTTTTTAGAAAACTCGTCACTGATGAGAAGGTTGATCATAAGGTAAGCTATTTATTGCTGTTCCTGCCTAAGAAACAACTGCCTCATAGCCAGTTAGGAGCGCGAGCAGTGAGAAAGGACAGATAAAAACGTGCGTTTGTGTCTTTGTAGTGGAGGATAGACAGTGCAGCGACATCTGCCTATGAAGTGGGAAGCCCTCCCAACTATCGAGGACAGAATTGCATGAAGAAGCATGGCATTCCCATGAATCATATTGCCAGGCAGGTACTGTACTTTGATTTTCCTTTGGTAAACGTGTGTTTGTTTTGTTGTTGCAGTGGGTGACAGACAGTGCCGCTGTTTCCGACTGGAACGTGGGGCGCTCCCCAGACTCACGGGGTTTAAACTGTCTAAGAAATCATGGCATTGAGACAGCACATAAAGCACGGCAGGTAGAACAGAGTATATTTTCTTTGTTACTCATACCCATGCCTTGTCTCACCCTGACCATTGCAACCACAGAAGTCATTTGACCAATGCATGGTTAAGCATCACGTAATAAATATATGTGCAGTTTTTCAAAGAACTCTTCTGGTTGAGCTTAGTGAGTTTCATAGAGTCACCAAGGCTGGAGGAGACCTC